GGGGGGGGGTGAGCAGGCGATGGCCGGGGGGTGGGGCTGGTGCGGACCGGGGGGGGGGTTAGGGTGGGGGGGGGGAGCAGAAAATGAAATTAGATAAATGACATTACACCACGGGATAAACATTCAAACAGTCCAATATCACATAAAGCCGCAAGCCAGATTCACCTCATTTTCAAGTAATACTGGAGCTAAATGCGCCACTCGAATTGCTAACATGACATTGTTGAATTCAAGAGCAAACCGCACTGAAAATTGTGCAGATAAATTCATCCAACATCTGGCCATTACCTCTCATTTAAAATAAATTGAGTCCGTTGTTTTCATTGGCTCACTTCAGATCCCCAGCTCTGCCCCAACGCAAGGTAATGAGAAATCACTTTTACTGCATGGAAAATTCCACCTCATACCGCTACACATTTCTCAGATTTAATTTTTTTTAAGTATATTTATGGCGAGCATAAGATCGCAACAGATTCAAACATATGCATTACTACAATACATTATGTTATTTAAACGCGACTTAAATAATCGTCAAATTGTTATTTCGTCGCCGGGACTAAGCAACCCACCCAGAGAGACCGGCACTTTATATATTTACAAAGCTTAGCGTTTTAAATGGAGGAGTTCCGATTAAGCATTCTGCGAGAACGGGGACGTCCGGGGACTCGAGCCGGCGTGGATCTGGATATGAGGCTGTACCCTACAGTACACTGGCGTCCACATATCAGGAAAGGGTTAAGTAGCCTGTTAACTAGTTCCATACCCGTTGCTCACCTGGTCATTTAAGTCGCATAAAGCCAATTGGGCAGATTAAAGCGCACAGAAGATAGAGAATCTGAAAAGTAAATAGGCACTTCAATCAGTACCTGAAATTACTCTGGTTTCTCTTGTTTACTCTGGATTAAGCATGGGGGGGGGGATTATGGGATGGCACATGTGGCAACATGAGAGGAACAAAGGTGTGTGTAAGGCCGCAGAGCAGGGTGTGCGAGGCAGACAGGCAGCGCCCCTGAGTGTCTGCACAAGCGCAGGGGGCCCCTTGCTGGGTCAGGTGAGCCTGTGGCCCATACTGTCACAGATAACCGGCATCGGAGGCCGGCCCAGCAGCACACGAATGCAGTTTTCACGTCGCAGACGGAGACTTTCACCAATAATCCCCACCCCCACACCCACACCCAAAGGTGCTTTTCCCCACTCATAATCTGGGCCACCTGCCTTAAACAGTGAACACCAGGACTTACAAGGAGACTAATCTCTATATTCTCATTGTAGAGCATTTTAAAAGAAGCGCAACGAGCAGTAAGGTCTGGAGGGGGAGACCTGCCAGGTGGTTTATAATGCATCCTGAATTATGCAGGTTCACCGGGGGGGGGGGGACCAGGCTGCATATGCGACACCCCGGAAGCCTGGGGCACAGGAGCGGCGGTAAGCAGCCAGCGGCCCCATTACACCCCGCAAACGGATTGATTTTACGCATTAAGAAGAGAACGGCACGAGCGGCAGAGCATTTTAGAAAGGGATTATGGTATTGATTGAGAGGAGTCTGGGTAATATATCAGGGCTGTAAAAGCACGGCTGTAAAAGCACGGCTGGCCGGGACGCCGTGTCAGAGCCGCATGGTGACTCAGTGCGACTGAAAACCGGCTGGAATCCTGACAGAAAGGGCTTAGCCACTCACAAAGGGCCGATTGGCATGACGTCAGGCCCCGAGGTTGCGGGCAGATTAGCAGGCCTCGCATCAAGGAGCCGGTTCCAGGCGCTCCGATAGGCAGGTGAGAGATTCGGGGGGGGGAACAGTGGTGTCACAGTAACGACTGAGTTAAATACTGAATGACCACCAAGCTGACCCACATTGGCCCAAACTGGTTTCTTGAAGTGACAGAATTCAAAGTTAAAGATCATGACACACAATGGCCGGGAATTTCCAACAGACATTCCTCTTTCAGAGAAAAGTGACAGCGCAGACAAAAAAAGAGGACAGAAAATGCAGGAAGCTGCATTCAGAATAACTGGAAATATATATCAAGACGGATCCTTAAAATACAGGCCATAGATCTGAAGATCCATTAAATGCCAGACTTCAGACCAATTAATAATGTCCATAAACACTGATGTTATCACATTGCTTAAGCACTAATTACAGAAAGTGTGTCATTTTATCATGCAATAATTTGACTCTGACCTAATGTTGTTTGTATTTCGAAATCAAATTAACACTACAAATATTTTGTTGGCAATAAACAGAGCGCTTACAAATATTTCTCAACAATATCAACTGTAACATAACTTTAAGACTAACATGCAACAGCAGATAAGCACAGACATTTTTCCTTTACTTATTAACCTGTATTAATCCATTCTTCACCCACTCACATTATTGCTGTTTGCAAAATTTCCTAGAAAGGAGGCTATCATTACTCCTAAGGTAAAACACCTCTTCTTGAAGTTTCTGCCGACAGAATAATTTACTCGTGTGTCACTTTCTTGTAGCATCTTACAAGTGGATCACGTTTAAGTATATTTGGATAAAACGTTAAAATTAAGTCTAATTAGAACTGTATTGATCCAAGTAAAAGTCATTTTAAAATGTTATGACAATAAAGGCAGGGGGTGGGGGGGTTGGATATCAACTTTTCACAAGTCCAGATATGTGCTGATAACAACTCAAGCCACTAGAGAAAATAACGCGCTTGATAAGAATTAGCTAACAACTTTTACAAGTGATTCTGAACTGTTGACGAGTCGTGCCCTCTATTTACGAAGCATATAAATATTTTTTAAACTATTGCAAAAACAACAATACATTTTCACCTATAACTATCACCAATCATCTATTTACACACTATAAAACCACCTGAGATTTACTTAAAAAATAACCCGGGTCGAACAGCTTAATAAAATAAACTCAGCAGAAACACGGCTACATGAATCCCACTATGATACTAACAGCAGGTGAGAGCGCCATTCTCTGCATCTCTCAGGCTAACCCTCAATAACGGGGCACCTATCAATTCAATTAAATCAACTTGCTGACATCGGCGCGCGAGTGACTAGCGGGATCAGAGAACACACCTAAGCCCCAGCTTTATAATAATGCACGCAGCTACAAGACAATAAACATTTTTCCCAGAGTTCTCCAAACCTAACCCATAATTAGAGGTGCTGCTCATCGTGACTGGTCACTGCCGATTTACCGCAATGGCGGGAAAAGAAACCACTCGCGTCATGTGACCTTTAGCTGTCTGTATAACACAATTTGTCCTTATGCAATAGACAGACAACCCCCCACACCTGAATCACATTTTTCACATGATTGCCTTAATGAAGAGAAAGGTTGTATCAGTCTCTGTCTACCCTGGTGAGCAAAGAATGAGCATGGGCACTTCCAGGACGATGTGGGGTCAGTCCCGCAGCTACTAACCCGGGAAAAGCTAACTAGGGGCTGAAGCACAGGTCACTAGCTGAGGTACAGAGAGGGGGGGTACCTGCACGTCATAGGTGCCGTTGAGCAGCATGGGCCGGGGGGAGCCTGCTTCCGGCAGCGCCCCCGTCAGGATGCTGTGCTGGAGCAGGCGGCCCGCGTCTTTGGCATGAGCCTGGCCGGAGAACTGCACCATGTTGTGTAGCGCCAGGATCTTGGTGTCCAGCTCAGCGTCCTGCCGCGTGCGGTTGTGCAGGCCCAGGTGATATTTGCGGAAGTGCTTGAGCAGGTCCGTGGGGTCGTTGCCGTAGTAACCGTAGCCGCAAATGTTGCATTTGAAGTCCTGCAGCTTCGGCGAGGAGGGCGGCCGCGCTCGGCCGTCGGTGGAGGCGCCGCCTGGTTCATCTGCGCCGTCCTCGCTGTTCCTGCGCCCGTGCGCCAGGTGGGCGGCTGTCCTAGGCCTGTCGGCGCCCAGCTCACCCGTCGGAGCCGGCGAGCTTCCGGTGGGGCCCCGGTCCTCGCCGTTGCTGGGACAGCCCTGGGCGGCGGCGCAGCCAATCCCGCCCGCCTGGCCGCCCGGCGAGCGTCGCAGCCCCTCCCCAACGCAGCCGCTCCTTCCCTCCCCGCCCTCCCCCGGGTCCCCGGCCGGGCTGCGAGCCCGCTCCGCGCCCCCATCTGCTTCTGATCTGCCGGGAGACTCGAGCCCGTCGCAGACGCGCCCAGCAGCTGGGGATAAGAGTGCCAGCATATTTCTGTCTGTCACCTCATCACGGGGGAAGGACGGAACATTTCCTCCCTTCTTGTGGCTTTCGTAATTGGAGACAGGCCTCTGGCTCGCCGGCGCCGCCGTCGCCGCCCCGCCTTTCAAGTCCCTTTTGATGCCGGGAGAGAGCCGCTGGACGAGCGCGCACAGATCCTCCTCCCTGTCTGGCTGCAGCTCATCGGCCTGGCCAGGCTCCCCCCGCATGTGATCGGCGCGGAGGTCCCGGTCCCGGCCGCGCGCTGCCGCTCCCTCGCTCTCGCCACCTGCGCACCCTGTGGCCGCTGCTTCTCCAGCCTCCTCCTCACCGCCGAAGCTTCTCAAAGGGGGATTCTTTTTCCGGACCATATCTAAAAGAAAAAAAAAAAAAAAAAACAACAAAAAAACCCATTAACAAACAGACGGACAAAGGGAGGCTCGGACTTACGGCGAATAACGTCACAACGCAGCGGAAGAAAAAAAACGAAGGACGAGGAAGGCCATAATTACTGGGTATGGAAATACACGAGCGAGGAAGACAGTCCAGTGCACAGTCCAGTGACCTCCAAAGCTGCGCTGGAGACTTCCGGGAAAAGAACCCGAAAAAGCAAAAGCGCAACCCGACATTTCAGAATCCATCCCCGTCAAGCTGCACAGCGTTCTATCGAATTTCACGCAAGGAACTGTTACCTCAAAACAACCACAGTTTACCAACTGACTCCATAAACAAAGCAAGAGTTTAAGTGACAATTAAGCCCTTCTGTTCATGGTATGTTAATGACTAAAATCTGTGCTGTGATGACCAATCTGGATAACAGATCCGCCTTTTTTCTGGCTTTGATTCAGTGCTTTGGGTTTTAAAAAAAAAGATTGTAATCTTATTACAAAATTTGAATACCTACTGAGACCAAATACTCATTTATTCAACTCAAAAAGACTGCAAACCTGCGTAAAAAAAAATAAATAAATCATTAAATACTACAAATTTTTAACTTCCATTCCAAAAAAGGAATGATTAGCAACAGAAAATATTTTTACAAAATCATAATTTCAATGAAAGACACCATTGGGGGGAAGAAATAATAAAACCTGATAGGAAATCAGTGGACAACCCCGAAATCCACTTCCTGTTTGCCGTGGGAGGGCGGGACTCGCATGGGCGATGAATACAGCATCACCTCAGCGACGCCTGTCACTGCCTGCCTTTAGCATAGCCTAGTCTAAAGATCCTCTCTTCTCCCCGCGTTACAGCACCGCGCTTGAAAGCCGAAGGTGAGGCGACGGGGGTGGGGGACACAACATCGCAGACTCATCCCGCAGCTCCCAGCAGCACAAGGGTCGCATGTAACATTTACATGAGATCTCTCTCAGGTCTAGAAACACTCTGAGTTTACCCCTAAAAAAAAACGAAGCAGCTACCCCTCCTTACGACTCGGAGGCGAGAGGCGATGGGAACTGCACGTCTTCAACGGTCCCAAGCAGCTGCCATTCGCTTCAAGTATAAAATTACAGACTTGACTAAACTGACTATAGAAGAATTTGTCCTCTGCAGTCCAATAAGGCCAGACTGTAACAAATCAATCTCGTTAGAGCGCAGATCAATCAGGGCACCAACACCCCATCCACGCCTCAAATCCCTTTTCCGGGAAGATCTAATCAGAATACAGATAGGAGGCAGCCACTTTACCACAACACTAACATGTGTCAGTGCTAACAACTCTTAAAAAAATTCAAATAAGATATGAATACCATTCCCCACACGGTCCATCTTGGAGAAAATGTAGTGTGTAGACAGGCGGCTGAAGACCGCTGTGACCCAGAATGCAGATCAGTAGCTGGGCTGACCTACATCAGGTGCTGACTTACAGGTCGATGCTTCTGCTGTCCCACAGTTTCATTTTAAGAAGGCAGGGACCCGAAAACAAGAACCAGAATTGGGCAATTTCTGTGGGCTGTGGCATCATCACCGTCTGATACTGATAAAAACCTTTCCGATTTTCAGCCCTGAACCCCCCTAGATGAGCTTCTGGGATCCATTAACTCTCCCTAAGCATGATCACTGAGGATCCCAGCATCAGCGGTAACACGTCTGAGTGGGAGCTCATGCCAGGCTCTGTAGAAACCACACTCGCGGAGTGGAAACCCCTGCCAGAGCCCAAGATGGCAGTCTGCCTGGCAGTCATATCGCCGGTGAACGCGCCAACATGTTTACAGCGAGAGACACCCTGAAATCAGCACATGAGAAAAGTGGCACCCAAGTGCACCAGCGTGGCCAAGGATAACTTGAACTGAAATGCTGACACTAAAACCCCAAGGTGGGAGTGATAAACGCTCATCTTCAGCACTGAAGGTGAGAAATAACATAAACAAAGGTTTCGGCTCGGCGTGCCGAAGGCTGACAGAGCGAAACAGGTGAGTTAAAACAACGTGCCACACACAATAATCAGCTCTGTCCCTTCAGTCGCACCATAAAAATCTGCAATATGAAGATCTACACTTGGATTCCGCGCCGATATCATTGAACTTGACGCTTTTCCCTCAACCCACACATCAGTGTGAAAGGCGACAAATGTCACGTCCTGCCATCACAGCAAACGGGGGTGACATCCAAGAATTAAAACAAGATGCAATGGCCCTCGGAAAATACACACAAGTTATGCTGTAACACAAAGGGGCACAAATCTCTGAGGCTGGAACAGAAGATAGTGATGTTAATTTACAATCTACATTTTTATGGTTTACAGTTAACGCATAGTCAGCCAAAAAGTCCCTTTTAATACACCAGACAGCCACCAAAAAGTATTCAGAACAACATCTACACTATTTGGTTTGATCAGCCTTAACGGCATGCCTCAACAGCAAGTGTTTTCAAAGGAGGTTGTATAACTTCAGATAATGCTTACAGTTACATGAAAAACTCCAGGAAACCAGCAAGACATTACAATCTCAAAGCACCATCCAAAGACATCAAACCATGGGCTCTCACAGCCAGGAGGTGCTAACGACGTCACACTGAGGATCAGTGCTCCCCAACCCAGCCGTTACAGTTTTATAACTGCATTCCTTTGCCATTATTGTGCAAATTTAAGACTTTATAAAATATAATGTGCTTTTGAGACGGATCGGCCAATCAATGACTTTCATTGAAGAGTGGCGGCGTGGCGAGCCAATCGGATGCGGAGAGGATCTGCATACCGAGCAGGATAAACTGTACGGGTTCACCGCTAGGTGCCCTCTGGCTCCGGCACCCGGCGCGTCACTGTTAGTGAGGCCCCCAGACAAACTGCTCACCCAGCTGCTCAACGGTAGCCTCAGCAGACCTTCTCACTCCGCCCCCCCTTCCTCCACACTCATGCCTTTGTGTGGAGGCTGAGAAAACACCCCCCCCCGACAAAATGGAGGGGTGGAGGGAAAGAGAGAGTGATAAAGTGGCTACTCACAGGTCCACAGAGTTAGCGACCAAAGCTACAGTGTAGCTACGCCGCGTAACAGCTGTTTGGTCATGTGACAGGTGACAGACCACGGCAGACAGATGCTGGTGGGAGACAGACGGCACACGCTTTGTGTATGACGCGCCCAATCACGCACACGCGTGGGGCAGGTCGACACGTCCGGCTGCAACCTTCAAAAAGGCGGGACGACGTAGCTTTAATCGCGGCCATCTGTCAGCGTGAGCACGGAGCCCGGAGAGATTCCGAATGACAATGATACCCCAGGTATGACCTGAACGGTATATGTCTGAGCGTCAGGGGAGGTCCATAGTGCCGCTACCCCAACCAGCGTCACGCCTGTTCCGCTTATAATAACAGTTACGAGGCAACATCAATCACGGAGCATGACGATCTCATTCCGGCTGAATTTCACCGTGGGTCTTTTTAGACGTCGGGCCCAGTGACAATGACAAGGTGGCTAATTTGTGACGAGGTCAGGCTAGTTCCGAATCGCTCTCCTTCAACGTCAGAATACGGGCGAGAAATCATTTACCACTTCTCGCACCTCCAGCTAGGCGAATTCTCCGCTCTTTTCAAGCGCCGAGCTCCTCAGGTGGGGGATGGAGGGGCGGGGGGAAGCCACCCGTTTGCCCAGCCCAGAAAGTTAACGAAGTGTTAGTGCCCAGGTAATTTGAATCGGGAACCCAAGCTGTGCCCTCAGAGGAAACACAGTAAAGGTGTCACTCTAATGGAGCTCTGACATTAACCTCAGAGATGATCCCAAAATCCGTGATCTGAGCTTTCTACGATGGGTTTAACATCGCCTCACTACGGCGGAGTTGAAACGGAAGGAGGGTAAGGAACCACAGTCGTGCTTTTACTGGTGCAAACTGTGCAGGTTACCATCCACAGACCAAAAAAAAAGAAAAAAAATTCACACACAAATGTTTACATCCTGTATCAAACATTACAGAAGTGTACCTCCCTGCACCAGATTCATACAATCAGTAAGGCAGCAGGAACTCTCTCACTGATCCCCATAAAAAATGGAAAGCAGGGGGGAAAAGAAACAGGTCAATCTCTCTTCAGAGGAGGAAAGAATGTTTATTAAAACTACATTACTAGCCTGACCTCCAATAATTCAGCCACACATATGCAGTGCACCGTGGGGGTCCGCAGTCCTTCAATGAATCAGCCCCATCCCCCGAAACCTTCTGATCAGCCGGGCAGAGAATTGAGCTCCCAGAATGCATTGCCAACGCCACAGTGCATCTCTGCCTTCCTTTGTTCAGCACGTTTAAATGGCCTGCTATGATGAAAGAGAATACAACTAATCCTGAACTCTCCCTCTCCCACTCAACTGGGAGGGGAGAGGGGGAGGGGAGAATGAGCGACAGAAAAAAGAAAAAAAAAAACACACACACAAAAAACTAGCTATATTCGAAATGATGGACGTGCAGCTGAAAGATAGTTTGAGCTTAATGAGGATCACCAGCGACAGCCTGACGTACATGTGACACACCTCGCTGCCCTCTGCCCCGCCACACGCACGAGACACGTGAAAGCACAGGCCGGACGGCGACAAAAGTCACGCTCACGACGGCCTGAGCGCATCAGCCCCCCCCCCGGGAGACGGTCTGCGCCACATACCTCCAGCATGCGTTCACGTCGCCGACCCCGCATCCATATTTTATCTATATGCTCACAGGAAAGGCCTCCCCTCCCTCACAGAGTCGCACCAGACCGCGAACGCCGTCGTCAGGAAGCACAGCGGACTTCCTGAGGGACGCACACGTGCCCGTGCCGGGTTAACCGGCCATAATGAATTACCATTAGATAAATGTCGGGGGGGGGGGCTGCAATCAGACAGCAAAAGTGGAAAGATCATCACTAACAGAATAGCGACAGCAATACATTCTTCTGCTTCCTGGGGAAATACA